AATTAAAGGTTTAGACTACTATAAAGAGTTTGATGACTTGCCTCAATACAATAACTGTGATTGTATGGAGCACAAAATCAAAGAATTCTCATTTTTATGAGCAGGCATTTAAGGTCCTTTTAATGAGAATTTACTCTTTAGTATATAATTACTAATGAACAAAAATAGGGCTATTAAACTCACTTCTTTATAGTGACACAAAACTTCTATGTGTAAAAAATATAAACATATCAAACTCAAGAAAAATTGAAATGTTCAATGCCTTAAAATGCAACATACTGAAAATTATACTTTTTCTTCTTAAGTAAATGTCCTTCATCAAGTGACTGATGAAGCCATTTTTTATATGGATATGCCTATAATTTAAAATACACATACTCTCTAGTACTAATGGAGGCGATGATATGTCTAAACTTCTTGAATGAACTTTAAATTTCTATATGAACGTTGGCTTTCCACACTAACAGAACTTACTGTTGGGATGAATTTCTATGTAAGCAATATTTATGTATCATCTGCTATGTGCCAGTGCTGAGGACACTGCCAGGAACAGGACAGATTCAGTCCCAACCCTTGGGGTACACACAGTCTTAGAAAGACAGATAATGACCATGCTATAGGAATGTATAACACACACTTGATCAAATGAAAGCTCAAAACTGAGAGACGACAAAGACAGAAAAATCACAGCATTTTGGCTCTGCAAGACCCCAACCACCCACCTGTGGACAAGAACAGGCCCTAACTCCCTGAGAGGAGGAAGATGACCAGGATGCTAGGGCGCCTGAAAAGGCTTAAGACAAGGTTACAGTTCCACAAGGAACATGGAATACAAAAAGAAATCAGACAAGAAACATATTACATCTATGGGCTATTTACCACTAATGAAAAGTCTGTAGAATTGCACCTCTGGTTACTTTTCAAAAAAAAATTTTTTTTTAATTATCTTCTGTCTAAATGACTGAAGTGTGATCCTATAGAATATGAGGGAAAAGGACAACATATTCTTATCAATTCTCACTGATTTTCTAATTCTACATCCTAATTCCATCTGTAACTATATTGAAATATTCTAGATACCTCACACACTTGGTTAAGATGTTTATGCTATATTATTTCAAAACTCCTCATGGGAAGTGTTTTTTCAAAATTGAAACTTCCATAGGCAAACTGAGTACATGCCAAGGGTATGGTTAGACACCATACCTCTGTGAGCAACAGGTGTTCAGGGAACCGGAATAATTCCAGATCCCTCCTGCTGTAGGGGATTGGTGTTGGAAGGGGGTGGTCTTAACATATCTTCAGTCTGGATGAAAGGGATTGATCTGGCAGTGGGGAGACCAGGTAAACTGAGACTGACATAAGAACCAGTGATGACATATGAGATGATTTGCTTCCTATAAATTAAATATCATTCTACTTACTCTACTGTACAACTGCTTTCAGTAATAGTATTGATAGAAAAAAAGTGAATGTAGTCCAAAGATGTTGTCCCTGTGAAGGCTAATACCTAAAAGACTCTACATGTTCAAACAGGAATCACTCTATGGAACTGGCCGTGCATTTGCATGGCCAAAATTTTACCAAAGCTATTCAAAGAACAGAGTGGTGGTACTTTCCAAAAGAAGTATTTGAAAATTTTCCTCAGTTTTTAAAAAATAAACAAAACATACTATTATGATCCACTAAAGAAAGAAGAGATAAGAAAAAAACTAAGGAAAAAAGAAGACAGTGTTTTTAAGTATCACCAACATGAAACACAATACATCAAATACAATCTAAAACTGTAACGTTTCATTTTAGGACAATTTGCCAAGGTAATCTGAACTCCAAAAGTCATGTGCCTTACAAGGGTCTATATGATAAAAAACATATCCTTATAAAGTGAAACCAAGCTTAAAATGTGGCCTATAGTAACAATTACAGGGTCACTCAATATATGGTTGTCAAACTTTGCTCCAGTGTAAACTTTGACTTATTCTAGCTTGACTGATGTGTTCTATCACTAAATAGAACACATTTTAATTTTAAAATTATCTTTAAATTAGTGATAAATCTAGTGTCCACATTGTAAAATATATCCATGTAACAAGGCTGCACTGTACACCCTAAATATATTGAAATTCAAAAAAAAAAGTTGTAAATACAAAAAAAAAAATGGTGTCCTTTCCCAATTTCAATGACTAATATACATTAAAGAACAAAATGCTCAATGTTAAGTTTGTTCCCCCAATTTTTCTAAAATACCTGATACTTACTACCTGTTTCAGTATTGGAATTCAACATAACAGAATATTTGGTTCAACACAAAAAAAGAAATGAGTTATTTCAAGTTTACTATATCATGATTCAGGAGTTCCAGGCACTCTGCTACCTTCATAAACTTGATCAAGCCCAACAAGACCACAAGCATTTACAGAGTAATCATTATACTGGACACTGGACATACGCAGAAGAATTAAGACATGGTCCATCATTCATGAAGCCCTTACCAGGAAGTGTATACAAAACAACAAATATTTATTAAATGCCTACACTAAACATTGTGCTGTGGAGATGTAAATTCATCCCACCCCAGTGAAGACTTAGGACTTAGACATTTGAGGCCCACTTAAAAGCAGTGATGTTGGGGAGTCTGGAAGTGATGTTGGGGAGGCTGGAATTAGGTTATTTCATCTGACAGGATCTCCCTTCCTTATAGCCATGCATGGCATAACATTTCAATAACCACACAACTGAAAGTGGCCCTGTAAGATTATACTGTATTTTCCCTGTACCTTTGTTATTTACGCTTGGATTTATTTAGCTACACAAACACTTACCATTGTATTACAATTGCCTACAGTATTCAGTACATTAACATGCTGCACAGGTTTATAGCCTAGGAGCAAGCAATAGGATATACCATACAGCATAGGTGTGCATTAGCCTACATCACCTAGGTTTAAGTTTACTCTGTGTTCCCACAATAACACATATGCATGTCTCAGAATGCATCCCTGTCATTAAGCAACACATGACTGTATCAAGGTTATATAAACCATAACTTAGACTTGAAATACCAATTTCCTGGAAGTGACAAAGACTATCTGAATCAAAAATATGAATAAAGATTACTGAATTGCAAAAGAATTATTAAATTCAAACAAAAGTGGAAAGTAATGTTTCAACTGACAGAATGTAAGTACTTCCTACCTATAAATAATTTATACCATTTTTATCTAATGGGTCCAAATCACAAGCTAAGGGGGGGAATGAAAATTTAGTAATTATTTGTAAGGTACCATAATCAAACTTTTCTACATGAATATCCACTGAGGAAGTTTGAATTTTCTAGTTATTTAATTAAGATAACTAGTTCTATTCAGCTCCTGCTAAATCTCTTCAAAAAACTGATTCTTAGTTTCTCTCTATAAGATAATGGGATTGGATTACACTGCTAAGGTCCCTTACAGAAATTCTGTACTTCTCTGGTTCAAAAACTTAAGATGTCAACATGATTTCAAAATAGGATCAAAGAAGCCATCTTTACTTCTCAAATTAGTAAGGCTAAAAAAATGTACTGTTTCATACCGTATTACAGAATCATGCTGCAGATTTTAACCTATCCATTGTTTTCAAGTTCATCAAACAAAGTTTCACGATTCAAAAGGTACTCCTCCAACCTTCAATACTAAAATTGTTTTATTAAATACAGTACAGGATTCTAAGGGAAATGGATAACAAAAGAGAGTGGGAGCTGAGAAGAACTCTATCCCATGTCAGACCTGGAATGCACTTACTAAAATTCAATATTGCACTTGGTATGTAGGTTCCCATATGAAACTCCTGTCATGGTTAAAGCTTAAGGCTAAACAAGTTAATAGCATCCAACAGAATGGTTCCATTGAATTATTACCGAACTTCTTTTTCAGCAGGTCCTTTACCTGACCATTATGTTAAGCTTTAAAATCAACTTCAGGGGTAGCACCAAATAACCAAAGCGAGCCACTGCAGCTGAGGGCTGCATAGTGAAATCCACCTCGTGTGGAAAATCACCATCAACTCACGTTTTCCATTTCAAACTGTGATACAGGTGGAGGAAAAAGTGTAAAATAAAGCCTTCTCTTTGAACCTCCCAATCACAGGGCCTCAAGGCACTAACTTAAGAATCTCAAAGATAATCTAATGCAGCGTAGTTCTCAGAAGACTCTGAAAGTTGTATTTGCAAGAAAGAAAAAAAACACTATTTCTGGGCTAAGGTTAAATTAATACATCACTGCAACTTTGCTACTGGAGCCTCAAGACTTAAATTCTGAGAACTTTTCCACCGGAACAGAACGGGATTGTCTGGAAGTCGATGAAAATAAGACGTACGTGCTGACTCCTCATACAAGAGATTAGGGGGAGCGGACAGAGTGAGGTCTTCGGTCTCTGCCCACAGAATGGGAGGTGGGGGGCGCTGGGAAGGTCAGGAGAGTGGGGCCATAAGGAGCCAGGCGTGAAGGTTTCCTTCAGGAAGGCTCGGGGCCCGCATGCAAGGGACCAACGGCCGGGAAGCCTAGAGGTCGGCGAGGAGGCTCCTCCGTCTACCGAGGCCAAGCCGGAGAGCCCGGCCTCCCCTCTCCGCGCGCGAGGGCGACGCGCCCCCACCCGTCCTCGCAGGCCGTGCCAGGAAGAAGAGGCGCGCCAGGCCGGGGGAGGTGGGCACGCACGAAGTGTAGACACCAAGAAAATGAAATCGGAAAATGGCCAGTTTGCAGGCGGAACGAAACGCCTAGGCCTGGACCCCCGGAGCCGGGCGCACAGCCGCGCAGGGAGCGCAGCGCGTGCGCCCGGGAAGCGCGCGGCCTCAGCTCCGCCTCCCCCTCCTCCCGGCTCCCCGCGCCGCCGCCGCCGCCGCGGCCCCTCTGGGAACTCCGCGCCGCGCGGCCCCGCGAGGCGGGCGCCTGGGAGGGGAGGGGCCGCGCTCCCCGCCTCCCCGCCGGCCCGCGCGGCTCCCCAGCCCGGAGCCTACTCACCTCCTCCTCCTCCTCCTCCTCCTTGTCTCTCCCTCCTGGCCACCGGCGCGGCCCAGCCGGCGACGCGCTGACGCCGTGCCCCTCCCCCGCGGCCGCCGCCGATGCCGCCGCCCCTCCCGGCCCGCGGCCTCCGGGCGCGTCAGGCGCAGGCCCCGCCCCTCGGCCCGCCCACGCGCCCGAGGCTCCGCCCCCTGCGCAGCCCGGCCTAGGCGGGCGCGGGGTCCCCGCCGCTCGCCGCCGCTCGCAAGTTCAGCCGTGGTGGTTCGCCGGCCCGGCTTCTCGCACCTGCCCACTTCACGCGGCCTTTCCTCAGCTTCCCATCTGCCTGCTCACCTTTTCCCATCTCGTCAGCACCCCGTCCACTTTGTCGTACTCTTTCCCCAACACCTAGGCCTGTTCTAAGCTCACGTTGGCGCCATCTCTTTCCTTGTGGAAGGTCTACGCCGCTCAGGAGGTCGCCTCGGCTTCCTCCTGCCTTCTTCCTGCTGATCTCTGTATCCCTTTCCCAGGGCCGCGGTCGCTCCGGGTCCCTCCCAGCCACCTGTACCTGCTCTGCAGCTCATACTTCCTCAGCGCCTGCTTTGCCCACATGTCCTAATTTCCTTCTCTCTGGACCCCTCTCAGATCCCTGCTGGCAGGGTTGTGCTTCCCTTTACCTACATCTTGGGCGTCCTTTCAGTTCGTACTAAACACACTTCTGATGCAGTTTGGGTATTCAGTAATTACATGTTCGCGGTCCCACTTAGGAAGAGAGTCACACTGAGTAATTAAAACTCACAAAGCAAAAGTATAGCAGGGGAGACCATCTTTTGACTTGCATAGTTCCATCTCTACTTTTCTGTATCCGATAATATATTAATGGACCACTTAAATTTCTAGGGATGGAATTTTCTGTTGGGGCTTACAATTCACAAATGTTGAATGTTTTTCCCTGCAACCTAACTCACTTTAGCTCTTTTACTTATAAAATACACAGTAGAAAGAGTATCAAGATTCTTAGGTCTCTTGTGTTCTTATCTGCAAAATGAGAAATCTGTCCCCTTCTTTAAATTCCTATAACTCTGAATTGGAGGATTTTGTATTTGGAAGGGGGTTGTGGGTTAAATGACTCGGGTGAAGGCAAACGTACAAATGTAACTGGATGTCTGGCTTATTCAGTGACTTCATTTTGAAAACTGCAACTTGGAAGAGTTAGGCTGTGATGCGGAAATGTGTTAAGAAACATACCAAAATAAAGGAAATTGATAGGCCTTTGGAGTTACATCCACAAGTTGCTTTAAGTTATGTGAGTAAACATTATTATCCTTAAATTGAAGCACTAAAACTATCTTTTGTTCTAGACAAAATCCATGCTCTATGTGGACTTTCAAAGTTTAAAACCATTGTTGAATTGAACAACAGCATTACAAGCATTTGAAAGCTTAATAAACCATCTGTCCATCCACTTTCACACAAATTGGGAAACAGAAAAGAGTAAATGCCAAAAGCTGAATGTGAAGGTTCCTAATTACATATGAAACTATTATAGTAAATCCTATTCCACAGAATAAAGTACAAGATGCTCCTCCACTTAACAATGGGGATTACCTCCCAATAAACCCATCATAAATCAAAAATGTCGTAAGTCAAAAGTGCATTTAGTGCTGGCAAAACAGCAGACGCTCCCCAACTTCCAATATTTTCGACTTTAGGATGGTGTGAAATTGATAGGCATTCAGTAGAAACCATACCACCATCATAAATCATAAGAAGCTCCTCAACTGGCATCCAGAAAGACCTGTGGTAAGGTTAAAAAATCTTAAGTCTAACCATGGTATCTGAAAAACTCCAAAGGCTATAGCTGCCATTCCATTGCTTTGGAAATACAATCATATAATTTTAAAATTAAATTATTAATATCTAGTCTTTAAAATAATCTAAATGAAAAGATGTTCAAAGTCTTTTTTAAACTGATTAAGAACTAAAGCCCAAAGAGGATCAGTTGCTTACCCAATGTTACCTAGCCTAATTGGAAACAAAGTGAGAATTCAAACTCAGACCTCCTGTCTCACACACCTGGCAGCATCTGATTTATAGTTCACACTTACATGAAGCTATTCATTATCAGACTTCTTTGACTTTTGCAGCTTTGCCTACATGGTCTGAGTGATGTATGAAATTGCACTTGGCATTAGCTAGAAAAGTATTGCTGTCAGAGGCCGTTTTGTCCCACTGGTTTCAAGGATTCCCATTGCACAACCTTTGTCTCCTTCAGTCAGGGTTCATCTGCGTGATCCAGGCAATTCTGGCCAGATCTCTGGAGCCATGACCCAACCAAATGCGTTCATCCTTGGAGGTGACAGTGCTGTGCCTGATTGTAAGAATTATGAAGTCCCTATTGTCAAGAAAATTACAACATCATTGGGAGATAAAATATGAAACATAAAATGATAATTCAACATTAATAATGAAGGATTCAATCATAAATTCCCAATTTTAAGCTGGAAAATAATCCACATAAATTAAAGGAATGCTTCTTAAAGAACAAAAAGGACAACAAAGGAAATTTAGAATTTAGATTTGGCTTATGGGGTGAAAAAAGGTAAAGGAAATTATATGAACAAAGGCAATGAGAAGAAAACAGGCATGCCCAAGAACCAGGAAAAAGTAGATCAGCCAAACCAAAACAGGAGTTTAGAAACAACAGAAAACCAAACTGAAATGACAGGGTAGAACCATTGATAGAGGGCCTGAATTTGAACCTGAGAAAATTGGGCTAACAGGAAATCATTCTGGGTTCAACTTGAGATAGAAAGACAGGGGAGGGGAGGACAAAACCAGGAAGCCATAACCTTGCCAGGTTTTGAAGAAGCAAATGGAATTTTAAAAGAAATGTTGGACATAAATGCTACTAAGGAAAAGACTTGGATTCAGTGAGTATATATAGGGATCAAAAAAGAGTGCAAAGTCCCAAATGACTTTTAGGGTTGTGTCAAGAGTCAATAACAATATATATAGACCTTAGCACCTTAGAGTTGGAAGATGACCAGCACTCACAGTTACCTTTAAAATGATAGATAAGGAAGCAAGATGTTTTCCCAAGCCAAATCCTCCTCATCACATCCCATTCCAGAAAACTGTAATTTACTACTTAAATAGAATAAGAAGGAAAAAAGAAAGCTCTCACCCTGTCCCTGTCCATGGGCCCCCTGCCGGTGTTTTATATCAATGTATTTTTATTTCCATTTCAGCCCTACTGATGTAAAAGTGCTCAGTAGTGCAGTGTATAATATTACAGTAGGCAATAAATCAATAAGTGTTTGTTAAATACATACCAAATGTATCTTGGTATGTTTCTACTCAGAACTCTGCTAGGCATGGAAGACTATTAAAGTATAAAAAGAGGCCTCTGCCTTTTAGAAGCTTATAACCTGGTTGAAGAATAAAGGTCAATGCACCCAACATAATAGAGAATAAATTCCATGGATGGTGAGAACAACCTATGTGGACTGTAAAGTGTGTTTATGTAGAAATAGTGGGGAATGCAGTTGAATGGATTGGAAGTGATATGATCTATAGGGTTCATCATTCAACAAATTTTTATTAATCTTTAAGTGCTGTTCTAGGTATTAGAGGTAAAACAGTAGAATAAAAAGCTCCTGCTCTCATTGAGCTTACATTCCATTTGGGAGAGACAGAGAAGAAGAAGTAAATACATACAACTTTCAAAAAGTAGTAAATGGTCTGAAGAAAATAGAAAGCAAAGGTGTCTAAATGGATGTCTATGGAGTAGGTTAGACCTTTCCAAGGAACACTTAAAGTATGACTTGAATGAAAGAAACAACTAGTCATGGAAAATCCAAAGAAGAACAGTTCAGGTAGACAGTAACCCACTGTATAACCCTAAAAGGAGTTAGGCTTCATGCATTTGAGACTATAAAAAAGCCAAGTGTTTCTGGAGTGTAAGGAGCTAGGAGGAAAGAGGAAGAAATGAGGCAGGGAGATCAGTAAGGCCTTGCAAGTAAGAAAGGATTTTGAGGCCAGGTTAAAGAATGGATATTTGGAAGATTAGTAACTCTGCTGTTCTGGATTCAAGGAAGGAGAGATTAGGACCTAGAAGGCCAGATGGAAGCCTGTATGATAATCCAGGTAAGAAGTGATGTAAGGTAGACAAGGTTGATGGTAAGGTTAGCAAAGAACACAAAAATATCAAGAAGATTGAGTATTTCGGAGGAGTGGTAAGACGGTATTGGTTGGGGAGAGTTCATAATGTCAAATGCAATAGAAAGGTCAAGGTGAATAAGCATTAAGGGAGAGCTAGTATAGTTAACAACAAAGATGTCATATGTGAACTCCAGGTGAACACTTTCCTTAGAGTGGAGTAGTAAGAAGTGAAGAAACAGAGGCAGTGAACTTTGACTGTAAGAATCAGTACCACATTAAAATGTACAAAGCACATTTGTATTTTATTTACCTTTAAGGCCATTTACATTTTGGATACTACTGTCATTTTAAATCCATTTAAATGTTCCCATCCAGGTCTCACTTTTCTTTTTTGTTTGTTTTCTTTTTTTTTTTTTTTTTTTTGTCTTGCTCTGTCGTCCTGGGTAGAGTGCAGTGGCGTCGTCATAGCTTACTACAACCTCAAACTCCTGGGCTCAAGCAATCCTTCTGCCTCAGCCTCCAGAGGAGCTGGGACTACAGGCATATGCCACCATGCCCAGCTAATTTTTCTTTCTATTTTTGGTAGAGATGGAGTCTTGCTCTTGCTCAGGCTGGTCTTGAACTGCTGACCTCAAGCAATCCTCCCATCTCAGCCTCCCAGAGTGCTAGGATTATAGGTATGAGCCATCGCACCCAGCCCAGGTCTAACTTTTTGTCTCCATACTTAAGTAAGAACAAATTTACACCTTAGACACACATCTGATATGTTTTCCTGGGCCAAAAATCAATGATATCAATGACTCCTTGCTCTAAATGTAGTCACAGAAAAGTTCACTCTTATTCCTAGGAATATGGCCAGATCCTAAGAGTAGAACACCAAGGCAAATGTAGTACCATAACAGTTATGTTTTCATTACTGCCACCC